AGAATGTTAAAGCCAGAGGAATAGTTTGCAAATAAGGAAGTTCGTACAGCAGAATTCTACAATAGAAAAACTTTGCTTCTAGGAATACCCCAGCAAACATAAAAATGGACAACTATAGACTGTAATAGCTGTACTGTCAGCTAGCCAAATGTAATTGCCAGTAAACAACAAGGCCTGCGTTGATTTTCGCGTTAAATGTCCAAATGGTATTATACCTTGGCTCCTCTCGCAACGTATGTCTTTTCTTTATTTCATCGTTTTAAGTTCAGATGGTCTTGTTCTGCATTGGTGCCAGACCATTAACATTTTGATATGTTAATTTAATTTAGCCTCAATGTTTTTGTTTTTATCCAAAGTTTGTTGTGTCATGGGCCGCTAGGTGTTGGTCAGAACAATTCTTATTTCCGATATTTGATATTACAAATTTGCCTTTTAAACTTGCGGCTTAAAATTTCTACATATTTTATGTGTCCGCTAGGTCGGGGGACGTGCATGCAATACCAGAGACTACCTCAACACACCTGCGCTCGGGAAACGACCTCCTCTCGATTAACTTAGCATAACAGCTTTGTGACCAAACAGGATTTTGCAACGTTAGACACTTCTTACACGCACCATTTTTTTGGAGGAATGTGGCAACGTTAACAGATATCTATTGAACCGTCATTCAATTTTAAATTTGCCTATATGTAAAAGCTTTCTTGAGAAATTTTAAATTCTTTACCGAGAGCAGGTGTATTCTTCAGCGTTGTTGTTTAAATCCAACTGGCAGACGTCACAAAGTGATTGCTTCAAATGGATGATGAGGATTGGCGAAAGCGACTTACTGTATACAGCTGACTGTCAAAGTTGTCTTATATTATTGGCCTAATGTGGGGCTAAAAAGGTGCAGACATTCCTCTATACGACGTAGAGGCAAATCAAGAACAATTTAGCTGTTCAGAACAACATGTATAGTAGTGGTAATAAACATCGATTAGTGAACTGAACAAACGCGAACGTCCATTGGTCAAGACCTATCAGTGAAATAATTAACGCTGTCAAACAATATTAATAACAAAAATATCTCTTTGTTACACCTTACATGGCAAATGTCTGACAGGGATTTTTATTGACATTTGTTTTTATTTAATTCCTCGAGTAACTTGTTTAAAATATCAGCGAGCATGCATAGCTTTTTCGTCCACTCAGTTCAGTTCTTGTTGGTATCTTTTCTAATGCCAAAAGCCAGCTCTTTAGCCAGTAAGTTAATTTTCTTTTCAGTACTCTTGCCTTATTTTCCAACTCATTTTTGAAGTGACAGCATTTATTTCGCATATGAATGGGGCGCTTTAATTGTCAACTTAAGTTTGCCACCATCTGACAATTGCCAGAAGGAAAGACTCGTTCGGAAACTGTAACAAAAAGTAAGCTAACTTGTCCGGTCCGTACTGGAGAACATTGGTCCACACACCTGCAAACAAGAAGAACTCGACCAATATTTCTCCAACACGGACTGAGCAAGCTAGTTAAATAACATATATCTATATGGTCAGCTCCGAAAGCGTGTAAGACGCACCAAACGGCTTGCGCTGCGGTTGGGCTCCCCTAACCGAACATTCTAGATGGGCTTGGAAATTCCGGTTATGTTCCTGAAGAAAATGTTGTTCCTTACGCCATGTAATAAGTCCTTTATTTACCAAGCTTGTTTGGCTAATCTTTTCATACGTTTATGGCCCTCGAATGAGTATTGTTTCACTAATAAACACGAAAATACTAAATAAAAACAATCTATGTCAATATCCAGCCTATGGTGGCTTCTCACTTGGTCTAATAACCCATAATGTATCAAAAATAGCTAATATGTGGCTCATTTCGCTTAGTAACACTCGGACGTACAAGCTAACTCATACCCCCACTATAGTACAAGTAGTTGGGGGGAGGGGGGGGGATGAAACCCCTCCCCTAGATTTTCGTTTTGTGAGGGCAANGGGGGGGGGGGGGGGGATGGAACCCCTCCCCTAGATTTTCGTTTTGTGAGGGCAAACGAAATGAATTTACATTGAGTAGATAGCCCTAAGCTTGCTCTACAAGATGACACAATTGTTGTTTGTTATGACTTCATAATTGACATTTACATGTTTTTGCAGAGGATGAATCATGAACAGCTACGAAAAGTCTCAACCTCTTAGAGAAAATCTTCTTTCCAAAACTTTGAAAAAACCTTCTTTGGAAGGGGGAACGGGGGTCTCGACATCCATCATCCCCTTTGTTCCCCCGAGGATCAAGAAGAAAAAATAATGTGAAAAAATTGACGGTAATTACAAAGGCAGTGGGATAGAGTAATTACGGAAAAACGGATGACTTCGTTTTAAATTCGAAATGGACAACATTATTAAGACTATCGCAAATTCTTTTCATCTAGAAAGAAAACTAATTTGGGATTGATTAGACAACTGAAAACCAACTAACTTTCTTTTCATTTGCCTTCGTTTGATGTGAAAAAGCCTTCCCGTCCTACTGTAATTTTTTTAAGTACGAAAAAAAAAGAAGAGAAATTATTTTAAAACTTACAGAAAGATATTAAAAGCATTTTTTGTACGCTTAGGCAAGTTAGTGCTGCCCTGAAAACCTTAATTGTGCCGCTTGTAACCTTGGTTCTAGTGAAATTGAACTTCTTATTTTTTTTTACTTCAGCGAAATTAAGGTGACACCTCAACCATTTGGTCACTTTTAACCCAACAACCCTAGATTTAACCAAGCTTAAAGGTGGAGCTCCGACTGCAATAAATTAACCTGACTTAAGCCTACGATCTAATCGAAAAGCAGTTCCTGGTCAGTGGTCAGCTTCATGAAACTACGTGACCTCGATGAGCTCTAAATCCGTACCCGTAATGTGGTGACGTGATAGGGGTCAGCGGATACCTTACTTTGTCGGGTATCAATTGACAATCCAGTTGACATAACATGGGTGTTCAATATCGAATATGAAAACAATGAAGATGATTGCAAGAGGTGTGATTCCAGAATTGGGTTTGGCACAGGAGGCAGTCCTGATGACTCCAATACGTGTGGAAACGTAGCAAAATACTCACCAGATAATGGAGTCAAGTTCATTGAAGCGATGGGTTACATTTTTATCCTCTAAGACTTAAATTCCGTTTTTAAACATTCGGGATCTAATTTGACTTAGATTACGTTTCAAATATCCGACACTTTTTTTTGGCAATGTTATAGAGTTGTGGTTAATGTAATGCCTCCGGCTTACGGACCCCATTTTTACCTGCCATTGACCCGTGGGGTCGCTAGATTCTTGAAATGTTAACAGCAGAACCAGGTAGCTACCCACAATACTACTTAGTCAAGCATACTGGTACACGTTCTAATTCCCTGCACTACTCCGTGATTACAGGCATAGTATCTTTTTAGCTTGCCAGAGTCGGGTTCTATCTGATCTATGTAAGTACATGGTTGCCTATTTGCTGGTCGATATCCTGAAGTATTTTTTAGCGTCTCTCCCCATTCTCCCTCGCCGTTTTTACATTCGCTTCAGACCTTTCGTTCGAATATTGACTGTCGCCCGCATTCGCAAAAAATACGACTGTTTTGCAATCTAGTTCCAACGAAACCAATTTTGTCGTACAATTAACATGTTTAGGTGTTCAAATCGACAATACAATCGAACCCCTTTTAAGCGGCCACCTATGAAACGGCCATCCCTATTAGGCGGCCAGTAATGAAAGTCCCGATGAGGGCTTTTCTATTGTTTTTACCTCTATTAAACGGCCAACTCCTTTTAGGCGGCCACTATCCATTTCCCCGAGGGTGGCCGTTTAATAGGGGTTGAACTGTATAAACTTTCTTGGTCGCCTCGTATAAAGTCGTTGTGTAAACGTTTCTCTGCGAGACTGAAGAAACTAAAGCATTTCAGGGCCTTGATAACCGCATTCTAGAATCACAGGGTATCCTACAAAGTATTGCGTATTCTATTCCTCTCCGGGGGTCCTCCAACTCACCCTAGTCCCTCAAAGATATTCACATTAGAGCAGCTAGAGTTTTTTGATATTAGGGCTCCACTCACACTGTTGATCTTCTGCCGGTAGCGAAATGAAAATCTCTGCTAAACATTTATAAGAAGAGAATGACACGCATAACTAATGGCATTTTACAATAGAGCACCTGATGGCATAAATAGAGCACCTGATCGTATAAACTCTCTTTTTACTAAACACTTTTGGCGGAGAAATCTAAGAGACAACCTTAAACTTCACGTCCAGCGCCCTAACAGTTATTCTTATCGTTCTTATTTCTCTCTTGGAACAATCTGCCGATATATTTACAGAGTGAACCAGACCTTGAGACTTTCAAAGCTGTTTTAAAAACAAACCATAACATTCTTGATCGATTAACATTCAACGGAATACAGAGAACAAACAAACAAAGTCATTGTTATATAATTAATTTTATGAAAATATTTACTTGTAGTATTTTATCTGATATACCGTTGTTACCTGTAATTGTTGTAATTATCTGTCTATTTGTTTATTCACCTAACGCGGGCAACCGCACAAACAAGATAAAACGACGTGTTTTTTTTCGTTGTTTTTTTTTT